AATCCCTGGTTCCACCAAAAAAAAAAAAAAAAGATTAATGAAATAAAGTCACTTTACATAGTACTTGACAGAAAATTAAAAATAAAATTCACCTCATTTTTTTTAACCAGAATGATTCAAAAACAAAAGTTTAGCCTTTCTTTGGAAATAAATTCTAAAATGTCACAAACTTTTCTGTATTGTTCCTGTTGTAATGAACAGATATTGAAATCTCTATTTCAAATCTCTAGTTTTTGGCCTCCAATCTTGCCAAAGAAATAGAGCGTACTTATTAATTATGAAATATTGCTAAGATGTAATCTTGTTGCCTTCGTAATATTTGCAGTATAAGCTGAATTTCATCTTATTACCAGACTTGCATTTATGCTATAAAGAAGCCATGAGAGCTATGTTAATGGAACTACATCTGAAAGTTTAAATGGTATCATTTGAAACTCTTGGTAAAAGGCAAAAGTTAATCACTTATTTGAAGAGTATATTCTCATTTTTTCTCTTATGTTATTAATAACATGCATGTCCCATCTGTTACTGTACCAACCAAAGTGGCAGATTTAAAATTGATGCATATTACGTTTTAAGTTTTTATTCTGTGTTTAAATAAATAATTAAGGAGGCTGTCACTGACATTTTCATTTGTATGGTGTTTGTGCCTGTCTAAAACTAAGATCCCTAAGCCAGCTGGAGTAAAGAAAGGATGGCAGAGGGCCCTGGCTGTGGTTTGTGACTTCAAACTTTTTCTGTATGACATTGCTGAAGGAAAAGCATCTCAGCCCAGTGTTGTCATTAGTCAAGTTATTGATATGAGGTAAGCTTTCATGAGATGTTTGTATCATTGTAACATAGGAATAAAAAAGTCTCTGGTTTTTCTTTTATGATGGTTTTACTTAAATGATCTGATTTCATATTTTCTAATTTGTTCATATTGCTGTAGTAGCTTCATTTAATATGCAAAGTAAGTTGTAAAACAGATTGACATATATGTTGAGTGTGTAGGGCTAGGAGCCAAGACCAGTTTAAACGTTGTGGGGTATCTGAAGCCTAAGATGTAGTATTTATTCCATCACTTAAAGGCATGGAGTAGAATCTATTGTGAAGAAAGGAATAAAAATCTGAGGTCAGATAAGTTCTTGGAAAACATAATGAATCAGGGATCATTTAAATATGATATCTCTTGGACATTTCGGCCCTTGTTTTCCAGATTCTTGGAGTACTTTCTTCTTTTACTTCTCATCACTACAGGTTGTGTCCCTTCTCACTTCAGCTATCACTTCTACCTAATGATTCCCAGGCACATATCTCCTGGAAATAACCATTCTTTGCACAGAACCACATTTCTAGCTGTGCCTTGCAATGGCATTTCATATCTACATCTCAAACGTATTATTTTCCCCACAAATATGGAATATGTAGGAACCAGTGTAAGAAATATTAGCAATTTCTGGAAAAATGTGCCAAGAGACTAATATAGAAAGATAGGGAGGCCTAGGTGCAATTATGTGTGCACCTGTAGTCCCAGTTCCTCAGGAGGGTGAGGCAGTGGGATTACCTGAGCCTAGTCTTGAGGCCATCCTGGGCAACATAGCAAGACCTTGTCCCTTAAAGACTAAAAATCAAGGGCTGGGGAGATGGCTCAGTAGAGTAAGTGCTTTCCTGGCAAGCACAAGGGCCTTAGTTCAATCCCTGGTTCCTCCAAAAAAAAAAAAAAAAAGAATAAAAATCAAAGACTAAGATATCAAGCTTTGTGACCAAGAGAAATACAGTACCAATAATAAAACTGATGAAATCACAAGGAATGAATTACCTTGGAGGAAATCTATTTAGATGTTGAGGGAATAACTAAATGTCAGGTGAACTGGACTGAATACACATGAGACTTCTATGGAAGGCACAAAGTCCCCTGTGGACTCTGAAGACCCAGTACCGGATCCATATACCAGTTCTTTTTGTGGGCTTTCTGGCCTATGTCTTTGGGTGAGCCATCAATTATTTCCTGCCATTATATAATGTACCACTGTTAAGTAACTCTTAACAAATGACTTTAAATGTTAACAGTTATAATGGGGATTTTTTTTTTAATTTAATTCAATGTTCTGTGAAATTCAGCTTTGAGGATTGCTTCATGCATGTTATTTGGTTGCACAACCAAAATCATATACACATATCAATGTATGTTAACTTTAAGTGTTTCACTTTTGTTTCAGAGATGAAGAATTTTCTGTAAGTTCTGTTTTGGCTTCTGATGTTATTCATGCAAGTCGAAAAGATATACCATGTATATTTAGAGTAAGTGTGTCCTATAATTTGATTGCTAGGTTATTTGTTTTTAATGAGTATGTTTGGAATCTTCATATAAATCATACAGTTTTGTGGTACAGTCAAATTTTACATTGTTTAATATATTCTGTATCATCCCCTACTTGAATATATAGAAATCTGTTGCTAACTTTAAGGAAAGACGTGGGGGAAGCATTAGAAATAGCTTCTAAAAATAAGTTCCCCTGTTAGATAATATTGTTGAGTCCTGATTTAGTTTTTCAGTAAATACTATCTCATGGAAAATTAGGTAATGTTAGTTTTCTAAAATTTTTTAAAAATAGAACTTTATCTTTTAAAAAATTTCATCTTGGAGCCAGGCATGGTGGCACATGCATATGATCCCACCACTTGGCCAGCCTGAGCTGTGTAGCAAGACTCTGACTCAAATAAATAAATAAAATAAAAATTTCATTTTAAAAATTGTGTTTCACTTACCTTTTTTATAACAACTACTTAAAAAATATAATAGCTTACACCAACATTGATTTGTCATTTTCACCTTTTTATGAGTTAGCTGTACACTTCCTAGGGCGTTGGCTAAGGTCGCTAACCCGGCTGCAGTCAGCTCATCTGAATCTGGAATGTCCAAAACAGCTTTTCATCTGTAGCCTTGGTGCTGTTAGCTGGTGATCTCAGTCTTCAGTCTTGATGGCTAGCTTCCAGGAAAGCAAAAGGAGCCAAGCCTTATAAGGAATAGGCTCATAGCCCATCAGCATTCTGTTGGTCAAAGTTTTGAGTCAGCCCAGATTGAAGGGACAGGGAAGTAGAGTCTGCTTAAGATGAAATCTGTAGGAGGAATTGTTGACAGCTGACTTTAGAGGCTTGAAATGGTAAATTATGACAATTTTTTTTCATACTTCCCTATCTTCATGCCCATCTGCTTGGTACATGTCTACTGATTGTCAAAGGAAAATCAGAGATGATGCGTAGTCTCTTAGTTTCCAGATTGACAATTATTTGTTCTCTCGTCAGCCGTCAGAGGAGCCTGTAGAGACCCACTTGTCTACAGCTCATTGGCAGAGTGTGATTCTTACAGTCACTGATGCCTAAGAAGGAAGATACATATATAGAACAAGATAGATATAGATATAGATATAGATATAGATATAGATATAGATATGAGATGATTTTACAAATATAAAATTTAAAACTATTCTGACAGGGGTTTGGAATGATGAACTTTTGCTTCAAAACTAACTCAAGAGCTGGATGTGGTGGCAGGCCCCTGTAATACTAATACTTGGGAAGCTGAGGCAGGAGACTAATGTGAGTTTAAGACCAGGCTGGGCTATGTAAGTGAGTTCAATGTCAGTCTATGCTACATAGTGAGATCTTGTCTCAAAAACTAAAATACTAACTCAAGTGACCTAATCTTTCTTAATGGTAATATAAATTATTTTTAAGAAGTAACAGAAAATAAAAATATTTCTGAGAATTCATGACTTCAAAAATAGTATGAGTGTAGTGCATAAGAGCATGGATTTAAGATCCCATAATTCTACTGTGTGCCTTTGAAAAAACTTAATTTCTTTTTATCACAGTTATTTATATATAAAATAAAAACTGAATAATAGTTTCTTTCTCAAGTCGTTAGGAAGGTTAAACGTTTAACACTTGTAAAGTGCTTAGACCTACCTGATAATCAGTGATTATAAATGTTACTTGTTGTAGGACTATGTGTACTGCTTTTTTGTTGTACTTTTGTAGCAAGAAAAATAAAAATGATACTAACATCTTGAATGGTATCTCCTACCAAGGTGTTGTCATGAGTTCTAATGTTAGAACTAGTCCTTCTGAGGAAGAGCGGGTGGACTCTGCTGAAGGTGTCACTTAATGAGTGCTCATACTTTGGGCAAGTGCTGAACAGACCAGCAGACTGTGAAATCAGCAGCAGCAGCATGTCTTGAATATTGATTAAATTTTTTCAGGTCACAGCTTCCCAGCTCTCAGCACCTAATAACAAATGTTCAATCCTGATGCTGGCAGACAGTGAAAATGAGAAGAGTAAATGGGTGGGAGTGCTCAGTGAATTGCACAAGATTCTGAAGAAAAACAAATTCAGAGACCGCTCAGTCTATGTTCCCAAAGAGGCTTATGACAGTGCTCTGCCTCTCATTAAAACAACCCAGGCTGCTGCAATCATAGGTATGAATTTATAATATTTATCATAATTGTTTAGTGATATACCTTGTAGTTAAATCTGGCCTTTAGGAATCCCCAGTGTCCAACATCATATGCCTTCTATCACAGATGTTCAGCAAATGTTTATTGAAATGAATGAGACCTATATCCTATATTGTTTTTTAGCAGTTATGCTTTGTAACAGACATGTATGTTCTTCTGAAAAACCAGCAGTTTTGGTTAAAGATTAGCCTACTCATCTATTTTTCTATTTGTGTGAATTAGAAAAGTCAATTTCTTAAAACATAAGTTTCATATGCAGTACATAGACACTAATAACCTCAGTAAGGTTATTGAGAAGTTCAAAATACATAGAATATTAAGGCAGAGTATACTGCATTTCAAATGGCCTCAATAAATGGCAACTTTAATACCTGAAAGTTTACATTTTGGCCATCTGTATCTTGCTTACACACTCAGCTCTTTTTTTAAGTTTCTATTAACTACTGTGAAGTTTTTGTTGTTTTTTTTTTTTTTTTTTTTTTTTCCTTTTCAGAACTTGGGATTGAACTCAGGACCTTGCACTTGCCATGCAAGCACATATTCTACTGAGCTAACTCCCCAGCCCCTAACTGTGAAATTTCATAGTAGAGTTTAAATACCTTTCATGGTCCTTCCCTGTCAAAACAACTCATGGAACTGGACCTAGATAACCAGCAAGCTAGATTTTTCTGTTTTTTGAATTTCTTTTTTACCATCTATTAGATTAAACATTTACTTGTTTTCGTAACTATTGATAGATATTTTTAAATGTTCCATTTAAAAAGGCATGAGGATTTATGACCATAACCTGAAAGATTTCATAGTGTTGTTACATTTTTATTACTTCCAGTTGTGCACCAAATTTTATTATCTGGTTTATTCTGTTAGCTTTCTGTGATTCATTACCTAATAAAAATGTTTTAATTTTGTGTCTTACATAGATCATGAAAGGATAGCTTTGGGAAATGAAGAAGGGTTATTTGTTGTACATGTCACCAAAGATGGTAAGAGAAAATTTTTTTTTTTTCTGTCTGTATTTTAGGGAAGGGTGTTCAGGGTCTCACTACTAGATTGGACTCAAAGTGATTTCCCTGTTCACAGCCTCCCAAAAGCTGGGATTTTAGGCACGCACCCCAGGGGCAGGGCTGGCACAGCAGGCCCAGGGATTGAACCCCTGGCTGAGCTATTTGACCGGCCCTCTCTAATTATTTTTGGAACAATTTTAAATCATTTTAGAAAATTCTTCAGTCTAAATTCTAAGAAGAGAAAATTTTACTTTTATTTATTCTGTAACTGAGATTTCCAGTTGTATAATTTGATATTTCTAAATAAGAAGATTACATTTCTGTAACCCTCCTAGATTCTAAAACTTTAGGTATATATTCTATGTCTGTCATTTTGTTTAGTGATTACACTGTATGAATTCAGATCGCATTTCTAAAGATATTACATAGAAAAAAACCTATAACCTGATTTTCCCTTGCTTTATTAATCCTATTAGGTAACAGCCATTAAAAATAGAGTTTTATTCCCTCAGTTTCATAAAACTGGTTTTTTTCCTAGGCAGAAATTAAGTGCTGGGTGAAATAAAGAGAACCAATTTAATTTGGCATTCATAAGTACAGTGTTGTAAGTTCTGTGTCATTACATATTTAAATTTCATTAGTTTGCTATCTATAGAGACACCTTCATAGAAATATGAGTTCCAAGTTACTCAGTTTTAGATGAGTTGAGGGTGAGGTAAAGATCTTTAGAAAATAGTACTAGCAAATAAGTTTTTCCTGAAGATTTGGCATGTTTTTACCCAAGAACTTTTTGCTTTGACTGTCCTGGCTACAAGAGTTCTCATTGCTAAATTTAATGCCTATGATGTTTGAGTTAATTGATCTTACAATGGGTTTAATTATCTTCCTTTTTCTATACAATTTCTTTTTTTGGTATTTTAGAGTATTTAGTGTCTCACTACCAGATCGGACTTGTGATCTACCCGTTTACAACCTCCCAAAAGCTGGGCTTGCAGGCGTGCGCTACCACGCCCACTCTCAATTGCTGTCTCAGCGTGCCCCAGGGGTGGGGCCAGCATGGCAGGCCCAGGGATCAAACTCCTGGCCCCTGCACCTGCTTGCAGTTGCTCTAATCCGCTGAGCTATTTGACCGACACTTACAATTTCTGATTTATTCTTCTGTATGTATATCTGTTGTCTTTTTTATAAACTGATATATATTAGTATATTTAATAAAACTTTTGCATTTAATTTATTATTTCTGTGTGTAGAAATTATTAGAGTTGGTGACAACAAGAAGATTCATCAGATTGAACTCATTCCAAATGATCAGCTTGTTGCAGTGATCTCAGGACGAAATCGCCACGTACGACTTTTTCCTATGTCAGCTTTGGATGGGCGAGAGACAGATTTTTATAAGCTAGCAGAAACTAAAGGCTGTCAAACTATAACTTCTGGAAAAGTGCGTCATGGAGCGCTAACATGCCTGTGTGTGGCTATGAAAAGGCAGGTCCTCTGTTACGAACTTTTTCAGAGCAAGACCCGTCACAGAAAATTTAAGGAAATTCAAGTCCCATGCAATGTCCAGTGGATGGCAGTCTTCAGTGAACAGCTCTGTGTGGGATTCCAGTCAGGATTTCTAAGATACCCTTTGAATGCAGAAGGAAGTCCATGCAGTATGCTCCATTCAAATGACCACACACTGTCATTTATTGCACATCAACCAATGGATGCTATCTGCGCAGTTGAGATCTCCAGTAAAGAATATCTGCTGTGTTTTAACAGCATTGGGATATACACTGACTGCCAGGGCCGAAGATCTAGACAGCAGGAACTGATGTGGCCAGCAAATCCTTCCTCTTGTTGTAAGATTCTGTTTCTTAAGACTATTTTATTCTGTCTTCTTCCTTTTTTAAAAAAGTATTTATTTATTTATTTTGATACAGTGTCTTTCTGTGTAGTTCAGAGTCACAGTGATCCTCCTGTCTCAGCCTCCCCAGCACTGGGATTACAAGCATGTGCCACTACTCCCAGTTTTGGGGCTGGCTCAGCATGCCTGGGTTTCCTGGCTGCATGGCATGCGGTACCAGGGATCGAACTCTGATCTTTGCACTTGCCAGGCAGGTGCTTAGACACCCTAGCTATCTCCCCAGCCCTCTTTTTCTTTCTCCTTCATCTAAATGTAGTCATTGTTTTAAAAGTCATTGTTAAGGTTTTTCCTAAATACTTTGTTGTTTTTGCAAAGTAATCATATATAGTTAGGCCTAAACAAACAGGATCAACATTCACATGTACATACTTAAAACAAATGTTTTTGTAGTACATTTTACTTTGGATGGATTTTTTTATCCCATGTTATTTCTTGAAATAACTCTAAATCTCTTCATTATTCCCCAAAATACAGTTCTTATCAGTAGTTACAGGACTTTTTCTAGAGAAGTGAACTGTTTAATCAGTTACACATGGCATAATGTAGCACCTATCAGCAGTGTTACTCAGTTTTATATTTTAATCTAGATAAACAGAAATTAAAATTGTTTCACTCTGAAAAAATGCTAAGACATTAACAAATAATTGAATACTTTTATTGTTAAGTAGTAATTCAGATATTACTGAATACATGCAATTTCACTGTATTAGATGTCTCAGCTGAGCAAGATAGATACACTCTCTGTTCACAGAGTATAGGGTACAGGAGAAAAGATTCAGTGCCATGACAGCAGAAATAAGACATATAGGAGAGGTAGAGAGGTTTTTTAGAAAATTTAAGGAAGTTGTATATAATGTCCAGTGAGTGACAGCTACCATGAAGCACTCTGTGTCATGATTTCTAAGATACCCTATGAATGGAGAAAGAAGGAGGCCCATACAGATTTGCCTCTCAGATGAGGGTGTTGAAGGAGTAGCTAATCTGAGTGCTTTCTTTATAAAGGAAGATTCATGGGCATCTTTAAATATGGATAGGAAAGAACCACCAGGAAAAGATTGTCTTATCAGGGAAATACAGAAAATGCAATAAGATCCCCAGGAAGGCTAAAGAGGATGGGATTATTATTTGGGGCAGAAGGTGTGAAACCTTTTCCATCTTAACAGAACAGAGGAGGAACAATGGGATTGAGTCCCAGTAAGTGTAAAGTGCAGGGGAAGAAAAATTAGGAGGACAATGAACACTAACTGCAGAAAAATTGAGAAATCTAAATTTAAAGAATCAAAGCATTGTACATTTAATCTCAACACACCCAAATTTAACTTTTCAAGGGTTTATTTATTCTTCAATACATACTCTTACCTGTGGCATAATTTGTAGAATGAGCGCTGTTTGTAACTGACTCCTAATAATTCGGAATATTCTAATGTAGAATAAGAGTTAGAATATCTGATTTGATTTTTTATAGCTTTGCTAGTAATTAATCCATAACCTTAGTTTAGCTATTGTGTTGTATCACCATTAAATTCAGTTTTCAACCAGGAAACATTGAGGATCTACCCTATTCACCTAACTGTTCAGGTGTTTTATCATTTTTAAGTAGGTCTAGAATCCTTAACCTCCACTTTGTGGGTTTGTTTCACAGTTAATAACTACCATAAGAGTCAGATTCATCAAAATGTGAAAAAACCGCTTTATTTGGCTAATGTTGTAGCCAAATAATGGAGTTTTCTGTATAATGAAGTTTTCTGTATTACAAGTGCTATTGTAATCTGAACCATGGTATGACAATTCTTCCTTACAATTTATGCTCTGTTGTTTCAGAAATGCTTTGATGTGGCTCTTATGTCATGACAATAGGATTTGGTAGCGTTTCCGTCATACAGTTACTTAGGATAGACCTTTCAAATATTTTGGGTTTAAGACTTCCAAATAATCAGCAAACTGTTACTTCTTTCCTTTCTTCCAGGTTACAATGCACCTTATCTCTCAGTATACAGTGAAAATGCAGTTGATATTTTTGATGTGAACTCCATGGAATGGATTCAGACTCTTCCTCTCAAAAAGGTAATTTCACATTAAAATACAGATGATTAATTTTATGATAGACAGCTCAACACTATTTTTATTACATTTAGTTTCTTCATATTGAGCAGGGCATTGTAACATAAGCCTATAATCCCAGCACTCTGTGTGTCTGATACAGGATGATCCCAAGTATAAGCCCAGTAGATTAGCAAGACCCCTTCTGAAAAAAAAAAGAAATAAGTAGGTCTGGAGGGCATATCTCAGTGCAAAGGCCATGAATTCACTCTCCAGTTGGCAGTTGAATCAAAACACTTGATCAGGCATGCTCGATATCATGATGAACAACTAGAGAATGTCATACAAACTAAACTGCCACTGTATCATCTGCTTTTGGATTAATGAGCTCTGAAAGAGTTTTGACTATTATTAATTATAACTTTTTCATATAATGTTACGTGGTGTTTTACCCTGTGAGGACAGATTTCACCCACTAGAAAAGTGATTATACTTAGAGCCAACTTGTGTTTATATGTGTCACAATTTAAAAATAGAGATTTCATATATTCATCATAAAACATGTTTCCACTAACATTTTTGTTTCCATAAGGTAAAGCAAATTTATACAAGTATAGAACTGCTATTTTGCAAAAATAAAGATAACTTCATTTGACTGTATATAGTACTCATTGCATGTGAATCATTAGTTGACAGGCAATTTAGAACAACAGGTGAAAGAAAGCAGCCAAGATTATATTTCAAAATATGACCCAGGGCCAGGGAGATAGCTCAGTAGAATAAGCACTTGCCTGGCAAGCACAAGGTCCTGAGTTCAATCCCCGGTACCACAAAAAAAATAAAAAAAGTGGCCCAATGTCAGTCTACTTCAGTAGTGAAAATGCTATTGTACACTTTGCCACATATGAGGCATCACCAAAATATATGGTGACTGTTTAATTATAGTAAAAGACACATCACCTTTAATTCCCCTCAAAGTGCTCTTCCTCATCTTGAAAGCTCTCATATCATTCTTGCCACTTTCTGAAGCAGGTCTGGAAGTCGTCCTTCATGACTATGTTTTGAATTGTGATTAGTCATAGTGAATGCTGCTCCCAGTGCCAATTGAAAGGAGAGCTTAAATGTGTCCTCGTCCACTTTATTCACCAGATCTGGGTCTGTGTGATTTCTGACTCTTTCTCCAACTTAAAATGCCCATAAGGGTAGAGAGCTTTTTGTTTGTTTTTTTTTTCCCCCAGTGCTGGGGATCAAACTCAGGACCTTGAGCTTGCCAAGCAGGTGCTTATACCACTGAGCAATACCCCCAACCCAGCGTAGATGTTTTGAATCAATTCAGGACATTGAGGCAGCCACAACAGTCTAAGTAAAGATACAAAGGAGGATGTCCAGAACTGCTTCAAAAATAGCAAAGACAATATACTAAGTATGTTTGAAGTGAGAAAGATTTGGGGAGGGGGATTAAGGACAAACTGTCTTTTTCGTAATCATTTTTTAAAATGTTAAGCGTTCAACCTATGTTTCAAGCATACCTAAAGCACACATCCTCTGCTTTATAAACTTGAGTTGTCTATAATCTAGTTTTCTTTGCTTGGGATTTTTGGTTTTTATGGGTTTTGTTTTTGTTTATTTGCCTTTACTCACAGTGTCTCTAGAATTCACACACACTGCTACATTATTACAGTTCATTGCTTTTTTACTGTACTGTGTGGTGAATAAGTCACTGCTTATTCTGTGATTGGCAGACATTTGAATTACTTCTTAGTTTTTACAGTAGTGAACAAGGCTATGCATGTCTTTTGGTGTAGATATGTAAGAGATTCTTTAAGTCCTATGCACAGCAGTAGAATTGATGGGATGCAAGGAATGTAATTGTTGAGCTTGGTGAGAAAATACTGCTTTATTTTGCAGTATGAAAGTACAGAAGATACTCCATCAATGACATACGAGTTTTTAACCCATATCCTAAGACTTATTTTCAGAATTCATAGTTGTATGGATATAAACTGGCATCTCATTATTAACTTAATATGTCCCTGATTAACTATGTGGTTGGGAATCTTTTATGTATTTATTCAATCATTCATATTTCTTGTACCATTAAATTCCTGGTCATGTGTTTTGCTTATTTTTTCTCTTGCATTTGTCATATTGTTCTTCTTGAGTTTTTGTACTTCATTATATAATGTGGTCCCTGAGTTAAAAATGGACTCTGTTTGTGTTCTAGCTAAAGTATTCCTGTCTATGGTGTGTTTTCCTGAATAGAAGTTATTAATTTTATAACTCAAGTCCATCTTTTACTCACTTTAAACATATTTCTCTTCTACTTTAGATTTATCATTTTTCTTTTCTATAAGCTTTCCCTATCTTATGCTCATACTCTACATATATTTTAAAATTTTGCTTGTTATATGTTTGTCTTTAGTTCATTTAGAATTGGTTTTTCCTTATTCTTGTTTTGTGTCTATCCTAAAGCAGAAATTTTATTTTATTGGTTCCAGATAATCAGTTGCTGCATTATCACTTGGCAATAGACCTTTTTTCACAGTCATTGGGACGTTCTTCTCCATCATCTGTGGGCATTTAGTATTTGGTGATAATAATTCATAAAAATGTGTTTGCAACTCCTGAATTTGCTCACTAATGGCTTTAGAAATATAAATTTAAGGTTTAAGTGTATTTGACATCCTTTATTTATATTCTTTCTTCAAAATATTATTATAAATTTGTTCAAATTAGATGCCACTGTATCTTCCCCGTTAGAATTATCATTCCTTGTAAATTTTTTCCCCAAGAGGACTCTCATGAAAAGTAGATAAATGAAAGGTCTTAATAGTTGTGCTTTATAAATAAGTCAAAAGTTTGTCACTTAAGTCTTAAAGGTTTTATTGAAATACTAATTTTATTTTTTACTGCTTTAGGTTCGGCCTTTAAACAGTGATGGATCATTAAATCTTTTAGGGATGGAGACAGTTAGATTAATATATTTCAAAAATAAGATGGCAGGTAAGAAAATACTTACATTAACTGGATATCTTCAATGGAAGTAGTATCTTTCAGCTAACTTCTCAAGGGCATATGAATATTAAGTGCCAAAGTACAGATATAAACTCAGGTCCATCTTTTACTCTAGAGTGTGTGATCTTGGTGATTGTCAAACTCTTACTATATTAAGATAAAGTGTTGAACAAAAGTAACTGTTTACATTTTACATAGCTATATAAGCAGGATATCTGATTCTGATATATCTTGTTATTTTTCTCAGGACTATCCGGGTAAGTAGAGAAGGTATACCTGAACTTGTTTTCTGTACTTTTAATACCATAGAACCTAACCAAAATTAGCAGGACAAAATTGTAGATAGTCACCCAGAGTTCCAAGTGGTACTTCAGGAATCCACCTCCAGCCAAGGGCATCTCCCCCAGAGGGCTTAGCACTTCTGAAATACTGATAAAAACACCAAAAGAAGCAGAAGAGACAGGAAAATCAGAGGAGTACCTGAAATCAGGGAGGGACGAGAACCCTCAAGGTTACGGGCAAGAGAAGGGCATTTGGGCAGCGACAAAATTGTGAAGTGAGGTTGTCACACTAGCGATCAGATACCATATACAAAATGCCAAGGAAGTTGATTACACGGAATTAAATATTTTCCATCAGTATGGGCCTAAGTAATTAGAAGCTCTCTTCCAATGAATTTTGGGCTCTTTGAATAATAAAGTCATTCTCATTTTATAGCAACAAAATTTGTGCCTAACCCAGGTGTTCACAAATTTCTGGTCTTTTGTAATGAATAAAGATGCACTTAGGCTATACTTTGTGTTTAAAATAATATTTGAATTGAACTAAATATAAGTGAAAATATTACCATAGGAAAACATATTAAAATATTTATATCAGTTACCTATAGTTAATGGGATTGCCTTAATACTTTTCTCCCTCTCACCATATTCCTCCAATAAACATTTGTTTATTTTAAAAAAATTCATCAAACATTTATTGTTTTCTGGTTCAGTGGTTTGGTCCATACCCCAGCCCTGGAGGTTTCTCGGTGTATGGGCTAGTGACTAAAAGTCTACTGAGAGTATGATATCCCAGTAGGATTTGAGAAAGGACATTCAGATTTTAGCCAAGATTCCCACCTGCATGGATTTATCATGAAGCTAATGAAGCTGAAGGTTAAACCTCTAAGGCCCTATGCTTAATTTTGTATTCTGTTTCTTAGAGGAACTCTAAATATTTGTGTAAGATTAGATCTACCTTTTTCCCATTTTATGTGACTATACTAATCACAAAACATGTCTGCACCCACACTGTATTTATAGGGCAAAACCTCTTCCAGTTTGTGTTTTCCCACACTTTCATCTGTCTACCGTAGGCCAAGAATAGCAGTAGAGCCATAGAATGGTGACCTGACAAGATTTCAATATGCTTATCTTGTCCTTTGAAAAAGGAAGGAAATCTGTCTCCAACTGATGGCTTCTGTGTTCTGCATGTCGCTTTTGGCTAGTCCTCCAGGAAGTGCAGCTTCCAGCTGTCCCACATCTTTCACTGCCCGTGTAATTCACCAAGCCCTGCTTTGCTCTCATAATCCTCAAATTACAGAATCATGTCACATATTCTCATCTATTTTTTAAAAATCTATCCTCTTAATGTTTGTTGCTGGCAAAGTAATCTGATTAAACTACATGATTTTACTATAAGAAATGTTGCTTCGTTGCTAATCCTCCTTTTTTGCGATAAGGTCCATCTGGCTTCTTTGCACATCCTTCACATTTCAGGTTTCCAGTGTTAAGAACTTCTAAAGATTGACTTTTCTCTTTTTCCTTGCCTTACTTAGGTAATTACATACCGTACTATAGTACAGATACAGTTGTCTGTTTTCTTCTTAGAATGTGTTCACAAAGCCAGAGGGTTTTCCTGGCGAACAGTTTACTCTCAAATACTAAAATTGAAAGAGAGTCAGGCGTGGTGGCACACACCTATCATCCTGGCACTGGAAGACTGAGGCAAAAGGATCACAAGTTTGCGCACAGCCTAGGCTATAAAACAAAATGGACACTGACTTGCTAAAGATGTACAGTTAAATGTCATTGCATACCCTCAAAGTCAGGAAAGTGGCAACAGCAAGATTCTTGTCCTTAGTAAAGGAAGATAGCGAAAATAATTCCTTATTCTACATCTCAATAGATTAAATCTTTCCAGGAATGTTTATTATGTAAAGATAACTTTAATTATTCATATAAATAATTTGCTCTGCATAACTGACTTATCATGCATATTAATAGCATCTTTGGGGGAATTGGGTTGTGTAACTAAATGGTAGAGCACACGCCTAACACACTGAAGGCGCTGGATTCTGTCCCCAGCTCACAGAAAAGAAAGCCTGCAATGGAAGGGTTTTTCTTTAACTCACTGAAACTAATGCCTGGAGGGAGAGAGAAGACAGTGTAGGCATGAGAAGTGAGGTGGCCCAAGTGATAGAACATTAGCTACAGTTTCTTATAGCAAAATTGTGTCATTGTAGGTTTATAATCAAATAAAAATGAAAATGTATTTTTATGTTTAATATAAGCATATATCTGTACAGTTGAATTGAAAGTTATTGCTTATTTGTGACTATCAAAATGTGACTTGAAGAGTATAATTCATAAACTTATTCTGTTGATTCTACTGTCATAGACAAATTGATAAAAAGTATCTTAGCAATTTAAATATCATTATTCTTTGTAATTTTTTTAACAGAAGGGGATGAACTGGTAGTTCCTGAAACATCAGATAACAGTCGGAAACAAATGGTTAGAAATATCAACAACAAGCGCCGTTATTCCTTCAGAGTTCCAGAGGAGGAAAGGATGCAGCAGAGGAGGTAGATATGTAATGTAGACTTACATCCATCCATGTCTCCCGCATCTGAAGAACCATCTGGTGGTATGGTGTGGAAGGAAAATTTTTCTTTCTTTTCTTTTTCTAATGTATTTTTAGTACAGGGTCTCACCACACAGATCCGACTCATAGTGATCCTCCTGTTTTCAGTCTCCCAAATGCTGGAATTTCAGGCACGCGCCACCACACCCAGTCTCAATCTTCATCTCAGCGCGCCCTGGGGCGGGGCTGGCATAATACACCAGGAATTGAACCCCGGTCCCTGCATCTGCCTAAGCAGGCACTCTAATTCACTGAGCTATCTGGCTGACCCTGAAACAAAATTTTGATACCTGAAAATATGTATTTTTATGTATGACTGAAAACTGTAGGGCTGCAGGGGTAACTTGCGTAACGTGTGGCTTTAGTCCTTAACACCACCAAAAAACTACAAAAATGAATGTAGCCTCTCATTCAGAATATATTAAATAATATTCTCAAGGTTTTGAGAGTACACTGGATTGAATTCCATATCTTGATAAACTTCTGTATGTATATAGAGTTTTAGAAATGTTTACTTTTTTTACAATATAAGTGTGCATATAGTAAACCTGTATATGCTTAAGAATGCCAGATTAACTGTTCTCTTTATAAGCAGATCTCAAGTACGTGCAAAAAATTTTTAAATATATACACAAAATGTTTAGACTTACCTGTAAAGCAGATATTAGGTCATTGATACACAAATATTATAGAAGGGTCCTTTTGGACTGGGAATGTAGGTCAGTGGTAGAGCACTTTTCTAGCATGTGCAGGGCCCTGGATTTGATCCCTAGCTCTGAAAAACAAAAATAAAAAAATAAAATGATCCTCTCTCTTTTCCCAACCAAAATCATGGTATTTTATTTAAATTAAAAGACAAAATATTCTAGGGAGATGAATCATTAACTGAGTATATTGTTATTCTAATATCCAAATTAACATAATTAATTTTTAAATATAAAAAATAAAATTAATTTCTAACTTACCTAGTTTGATAATGGAAAAAGTATCTAAACAGGTGTTTGTCTTACAGGGAGATGCTGCGAGATCCAGAAATGAGAAATAAATTAATCTCTAACCCAACTAATTTTAACCACATAGCACACATGGGTCCTGGAGATGGAATACAGATCCTGAAAGACCTGCCAATGGTAAGAAGGAAAGAGGGAGAATAGACTTGAATGCATACATAGATGGCACAGGCTATGTTAATATAATAAAACATTTCTCAGAGTGTCACACTATGTTTAAAATGCATGAAGACATATTTGATGAAAAAAAAATTTACATGTCTGTCAAAAACCAAACAAATATTCTTCCATACCCTAGAAATTTCTCTTATACCTAAATGTACTATTGTTGATGGAAGAAAGTGCCACACTTAGAGAGGTTGTATACCAAGTCACTAAAATTTTACTAAGTTGAGGACAGATATTGGGCCTTTTTCTCTCAAGAAGTCCAAATTAGTATGGTCATTAATAGTCATGCCTCGCAGCTAACTGAAGTTAGATTGTTTTCCTTTGCCCAACTGCAAGTATGTACCCTAATAAACTGTACATAACAAGCACAAAGGAAAACTGTTGTGTTTTAACAGTATGGATTGTATTGTCAGACCCATTTGTATTGAGCTTAAAACTATTAGTGGAATTAGGTAATCATCTGGGTTCTGCTTGTATTTAGCATTGCAGTACTACAAACTGTTAAAACTTTAGTGTGACTCTTTTAAACAATAGAGATGGTTGTTAAGCTTTGTATAGAATTTTAAGTATAGTTTATATTTAATGGCAATTTGGAGATAATTTGTGAAACTTGACCTAAATCTCTAAGGAAATTGTTTTAAATTAACCATATTATCAACACTAGTATGACAGAAGAGCTGCAAGAAGAAGTAGTTTGATGTGCAGTCCGATTTCTAACATAAAAATTAAATTATAAAGGGCATTTTGCTTCATTTTAAGGGAAGAAAACATTAAGTCTGCATTCCTTTGTGCCCGAGTACTTTGCTGGAATATCACAGTTAACAAGCTGGTCCAGCTTTCTCATTTTTATTTTTTCTTCATCAAGAAATTATTATGATATAGTAATGTACCTCCCTTTATGGAGTCCAGATTATTCACAGTAGCACTTTTCCTTTTTGAATGGGCATTTTTATCACACATATGAATAGTATTTTCATTCAAATGGAATAGTTTCAGCTGGGCATGGTGGGTGCACGCCCATAATCCCAGCATTTGGGAGGCTGAGGCAGGAGGCTTGCCACAAGTTCATGGTCTGCCCGGGCTACTTAGTGAGCTCAAGGTCAACCTGGAATAGATTACAATACCCTATCTCAAAAAAAGACAAAGAAAGAAAAAAAGGAAAGAAGGAATAGTTTCAGTACAGTATTTTAATAAAATATTATTCTGTTTATTGTTCTGCTGTTATCAGATGAAAATCAATTTGCTAATGTTCCACAGTTGTTTTAGACCTTCATATACAATAAGAATAGGTAAAAGAGCAGATTTCAAACATGGTAAGAAATTTTGCTGGCGTATCCCTCCTTTACTTTTCTCCCATCACCATACTACCACTTAAAATAAGTCAATATTTTTTGTTTATTTATTTATTTTTTTATGGAACTGGGGATTGAACTCAGGCCCTTGCGCTTGCCAGGATAAAATATTTTTATTACTAAACAAATTTAGATAGAATTTCCCAAAGACTCACCCCCACCTGGCTCCATGACACATGACCTTCTGTGCTGGCTGCTGATTCTAAGTCGACCTTTTGATTGTTAGTACTTGTCATCTGATTGTTTTTAACCCGTGCCCACCTTATTGGTTCTTTTAGGTATTAACACTGACTTTTTTTGTGCTCTAGCAGTTCAGTCCAGGTTTTAGTGTACCTCCCATTCCTTACATGTTTTCTCATGATACAAGCACCTTCACATTGCCAGGTGACCCAATGATGGATGTTTTTGAAACCTCCTTCTTCACCTGGATATGTAGTATGCATCAAAGATTTTCTGTGTCAGAATTCCTGTTGTTCACAGCTATGTTATTTTCACATGATTTTTCTCATTTCATGGCAAAAGGATATATAAGCTGAGGCTTTTATAGATATCCATTTACTTACCTAACAAATGTTTCTTGAGCACTTACTCTCACTTTCTGCCCAGGACCATGCCAATCTGAGGGTAGATGTTGGTAAACAACACAGTAATATGCATGTCTGAATATAATAATAATAATAATAATATGCATGCCCTTATTGAAAAGTTTATGGCCTTATATGTATTTTCAGATTTTGATATGTTCTTTCTACTGAAAAGCAATTCTGAACAGTTTCCAAAAAATAAAGATGAGTTAAATTCATCTGTTAACATATATAAGAGCTTTCAAGTACCAAAGCCATGTGTTACCTGTTGTCTGTGCGAAGAACATGTGCCCCGTTTTTGTGTTTCGACTTACACAAATCAGTATGTTTTCCTGTGAAATACTTATGAGCATAGAAAGCTCATCAAATCTCTTTAAAAGCTAATATCATTTCTTTTATGTGAAATGATCCTGAAATAGTAATGTTGTTTCTTAAATATAGAAAGGGCAATAACCTAAAGGAGTCATTGTATTTTCTTATGTCCTATGTCACAGGTGAACCATTTATTTGTATCTTAGTGAGCCAAAGAATATTAGCAGTTAATGTAAGGCTTATATGTATGTCTTACAAAAATATACTGAGTCACTTTTCTTGAAACTTTTTTATCACTTATATTATTCTGTAAGGTCTAGGAAAAGAGGACAGGTGGGTTTTTTCCTCTAACTCATACAAAAATAACATATTACTTCTGTACTTCTAGCATAGTATATCTTATCCATTCATAATATTGTTAATAAGATTTAGCTCAGTGTTCTCTTAGGGCGTCCAAAAGTAATTTTTCTTCTTGGACTGGGCTATATCTCTGTGGTAAAATACTTGCATAGTATGCATGAAGCCCTGGGTTCCATCCCTAAAATCTCCTCCCACAACCAATAAAATAAAACATAATAATAAGTTTGCTTCCTTAAAATCAAAGTTACATGTATTTTCCCATTTCCATTGCAAACAACATTAGCAAGTACTATACTGATTTAGTCATATCTGTACAGTAAAACAGTATCTTGTATGGAAGTTTTCCTTTGAAGCCCTGGTAATTCCCAAGATATTTTTACACAGCAAGCTCATCTCGACTCATGAGAACAGAATGGCTGTTCTGGATCCAGTCAGCATTGTCTCTAGGACATCAGCCACCCTCCGCCTCAAATGAAGGGACTGTGAATTCAGAATCAGTTCCTCTTCACAGACTAAACCTTGAAAATCCCCGTTATGAAAAGTGTTTGACTACTGATTGGTGCTCCCTAAACAATCAAAATAGTGACTTTATCTGACAATAAGAGTTCTTGACTTTGGAGGCTTTTTTACTTTATCTTTGCTATTACATTATTCTGCTTTTAAAAACTAGAACATTGAAAGGAAGGCTTTTCCCTGACACAAACTTGTTCCTTTAGGTGTGTATACGGAAATAAGTTTGTGCTTTAAAGTAAACCAATAATTAGTATATGAGGTTTCCCTGTAGGTACTATTTTTATTATAGAAAAATGTGAGTAATGAAAGCCAACACATATCACAAGCATAGAAATACAGTACTAGAAAATGTTTCTAATGATTTTAGATTCTAAAGAAAGTTTCATAACACATCTAGTTAAAAGCTGCTATAGAGTCTTTAATTTTTTGCTTTTTCTGTACTTAATGATTTTGGTAGATTTTTGCCATGTTTTGACTATATCACATAAGAAAATCCCAAACTAAACTCTGAAGGTTTCGTTTATATTTAAAAGTCCAATTTCTATTCATTTAATTATATTAATAAGAGGATAAGTTTATAAGAAGAATGATTGTTTACAAGTCAGCTGTTTAAGTGACTGGCAAGAAGATTACCAAACCTAAGTCCTAAAAGTATTTCATTAAGGATTTGGTACTGATGTAAGAAGAAACTACTTTGTTTTTTTCTGCATGCATGTTGTCTGAAATGTCACACATAACTATTGAATCCACCGTCACCTTATCACCTTTTTTCTTTTCTGTTGTTTTTGATAGCCAGGTTTCCCTTATCCATCCCCTCATCATCACTCCGGTCTGATCTCCTCTCCGATCAACTTTGAGCACATCTATCACATGACTGTTAATTCTGCTGAAAAATTTCTCTCTCCTGATTCCATAAACCCTGAATATTCCCCGTCTCTGCGCTCTGTCCCTGGTACACCAAGCTTTATGACTCTGAGGGTATGAACAGCTGAGTCAGGTGTTAACTTTTACTAACTATGTGAGGTTTCCTGTTGCCTGGCCTAATCAGTAATACTGCCGAAATGCTACGACTTTGTGAATGTTTTCCTTTCACCTGTTTCTCTTCTGCCAAACTTCTCTTACTCTTTCTCTTCCTTCTCTGTTTATCTTCTTCCTCCTCTTCCCCTTCTATTTCATTTCTTCCTTTAAAGAAAAAAAAAATGGAGAAATACATAGGACTTCAATTTTTTATTTTTGAAATAGTATTAAGGTTTATCTGAGTTTGATAAGAAATTTTCCCATTATGGTATTTCTATTACACATGCCATCATAAAAAAAGATAACCATTGAGTGGTTCTTTATTTTGTTAAAGCACACAGAAAAGGGATGCCTGAATTTCTGAGTTTTTTATAGCTCATTACCCTATCACCAGTACATGTCAGATAATTTTTTTCATATTGAATGAGGTTGAAGTCTGGAATTGTGCCTATTCTAGCTACAGTAAAGCTTCATTTGAAAACTTTAAAAATTTCCAGAGTATTATTACATTCAAAATATATATTGTATTTAAAGGTAATGTATTCCAAAATACATTCATAACAGAAAAAAATTTTGCTAATGTACAGTTTTGTAAATTATTTTGTTACTGATTTGCATTTAATTCCAACTGTGGTCCAAGAAACCCCAAGAGGAAAAACAATGCAGATCCTGTAGGACTGGGCATCTGCTCTCCATGCCATTTGTTTCCTTGCAGTTAGCCCTCTGTTTTCATTAGGAGCTTTGCAGTCAGGTAGAGAGTGGCTACTAAGCTGAATAGCCATGTTTTTATCAAGTAAACCAATGTTTGAACTAAATTCAAGGAAGTTAGTTTTGCAGATAATAAAATATCTGGATTATATCACAGAGACTGTTCCACAGTGCCCCCAGCTTAGAAAACTAGTAGCACCAATATTTTTATTTGTGTAGATAGTTAAAATAATTTTCAATAAGAAAATCATAGGATGAGAATTTTTTATTTGTATTATAAAATTTCAACTATGGGACTAGGAATATAGCTCAGTAGCACAGCACCTGTCTGGCAAGCACAAGGTCCTGAGTTCAATTCCCAGTACTCAAAAAAAGCATTCAGTTGTTTTAAATGTCATTGTATTGACACTAAATTATATCACTTTAGTTTCTTGCTTGAAAAAATCAACTGTGACAAAATAAGCCTTAGTTTGCTTGGTAACACTGCAGACAGTCGATTCCAGTGGAAGGCTGTATAAATCAACCAAGTGTTGATTTATATCATATAAAACTTGATACAAGTGTAAGGTTAGTTGTCTTTTAGTAAATCATTGTACCATTAGCAGAAATTTTACCCTAATCTTAGGCATATTTGTAACTAGAATGATCAAAAATCTTAAAATTTTTTACTTTCTAATGAAGTTTATTTAATTTTAATAGACTAAGCTTTTAAAATCATTTTTCTGTGTATAATTCTTTTATTTGTCAGCATTACTAAGAAACTTGTTTCATAAGCTTAATCTTTGCCATTTCTTTAAGGTAGACAGTTTATAGAAAAGGACAGCACTAGCACGTTATAAGGTTTATAGACAAATCCATACCAGAATGTGCAGCTTGAACCTGATACCCCCATCTCTTCTGCACTTTCCTTGGCTGTGTTGTGCACTACGCTTGTGTCTTACAGGTTTGCTCCTGTACATGTGAAATCTCAATTAACAGCATTGACTGTTTCAGATTTAAATCTTTCGTTTTCCTGGGGAGGTGGAGGGAAGTAAAGCATTTGCTTTACCACACTAAGAATTACATGGACTTTGCAAATTTGGTATATGAACCAAATGGCAGTGGTTGACTTGGGAGCCAGCTGGCCGGCTTTTAGTATGTGAGCCTCTTCAGAATGCATAGTTCGGAGATTTTAAGTGGCGCTGCATTAGTGCCTGTGACCTGGTTGCTAGCTGTAGCTGTGCCTGATGACTGTGCCACGGCCTTCTCAGGTGTATACAGACACTCGGCACAGCAGCAGCACCAGGGCCAGGGCCAGGGCCTGTCCTAGGGGCCTCGTGCCTGCCTGGCAGCTGAGGGCTGAGGTTCTAGTTCTAGACTTTTATTATAATTACAAATATATTTTAGGTGCATTACTGCATTTCTTTATTATTGCTTCCAAATAACCTCTAAAGCCATAAGTATTTGTGCTCGTTGCATTGTATCCTATGTTAAATCATAGAATACTGACCTAGTACGACAGAGAAGACAGTCAGTAGTTCTTTTGCTGTTAGCATATGAATCAGGTTATTTGAAGAACTGCCCCTATTTCATTCATGGATGCCAAGAAAATGTTATTCTTTCCAAACAATAAAAGTAAAATGGACTTTATAGCTTTAAAACTCACATGACATACTTACACCCAAATACACTTGTGACAGCAAGCTGGTACAATACTGTGTATTCTACAGGAAGAATCATAATTTGAAATGCATGAACTATATTACCAATATAGTTAGTTAATTCTAGTACTTGAAGGAGGAAATTGTAGCTATAAGCCATTCACTTATTCAGCAAATACTTTTCAGCAACTGTTTTACATCCTAGAGTTTAGCATGGTCATAATTTCAGTAACTGTAAGAAATGACAAGATGACTAAAGCTACAAGGCTAAGAACAGAAATGAGCTGCACTTCCTAAGCAAACAGGGCAAACTGGACTCTCCAGGTGCAGTCCTGTTGGGAGTGAGCCTGTGTGACTCATAGTGTGCTAATTTTCTGTGTTTAAAAGGAAGGCATAAGGACACTTAAGGAAATCAGTAAAATGTAACTTAAGCACCTAGGCCTTTCTCTTGCTGAAACTTGTAATGCATTCAGATAAAATTATTAAAACTGAATTAACTTTTTTTTTTTTTTTTTTTTTTGGTGGCGGAACCAGGGATTGAACTCAGACCCTTGCACTTGCCAAGGAAGTGCTTGCTTATTCTACTGAACCATCTCCCTGGCCCCTTGAATTAACATTTAATAGCATAAGTCATCAACATACCTAAGTCATATCATGAACAGTATAAATATTGGTGTGGGCTACTAGAAGAAAAAGTAATATTTTATAACCCCAAATTGATTAGAGAGGATTTCCTGCTTTTGGGTCATAAAATGAGGCAAACAATTGTAACATTTTAAGATAATTAGCTCTATGCTCTATTGCATTTGGAAAAAAGGCATAATATAGCTGTTGTGGCCAGATAATTAAAAAATTGTGTTGAAAGAAAAGATAAAAGTGCTTGCCAGGGTCCTGAGTTCAATCCCCGGTACCACCAAAAAAAAAAAAAGGTAAAAAAAGAAAAGATAAAAGTCATACCAAATTGATAACAGTATCTGGTGAGTTCACAGAAAATGTTCTTTGTTTTATGATTTCATTATTATATATTTGGTCCACAATCCATGAATATTACCTTTAAAATCAGGCTAAAGCAAACACTCCTAATGATAGAAGTACTTAGAAAATTAGTAGTTCATAAATAGATTTTCCAATCACTTCATTAATCATTGATCACAGATCACACTATTGTTTTAATTTTAAGTGTAGAAACAGTAAAGGAAGACCATCTTCTCATAAAAGGAAGTAACGGGGCTCAGCTGTCTAAAGCGCCTGTTTAGACTAGCGCACAGGACTGCCAGTCAGTCCTGGGTACCATGTACCGTGACAGCCCTCCCCCAGGCTGGGCTGGGCCAGCCACAAAGAAAGACAGTAACACACGCACCCTGATTCCATTAAAATAACTAGCCTTCTTTAATAAATTGATCCTTTGGAAAAGTCACAAAACTTGAAGTTTAGACCTCTTTTTAATGTAATTGTTTTCATTTTATTTTCATTATAGAGTAATGTTCTTGCTTAATGCATGTAAAAGTTGTGACTGCTGCCCTCCCAGCAGAATTGCTGTGGCTGAAACTACCAGCAGGGTCAGAGTAATGCTTAGCAGAACAGGAGAGGACCTGCACATAGGTGGGCTGCTCCAGGTGCTTTACTCTTGCGGTATTAGGGGTGTGGCCCTCAGAAAAGCTCTGTGAAATGGGTATTATCCTCAGATACAGTCTAGGAAGCCAAGGCTTGGTGTTGTATCAGCCAGGGCCTGCCAGTAGTAGATGGAGCAGCACAGATGTGAATATGCCTGCATCCTTCTCCACCTGGTTTGCTGACTACCAGCTTAGTGATGGAGAGGGCAGGCTGTTGGGAAATAGGTACTGTAGGCTAGCAAATCCCCTTATTTTTGTTGTCATTATTAGAGAAACTAATAAGGAGTTAGAAGATACATAGATAGAGATACAGATATTCTGTGGTGCCTCAGCTCATGAACTTAATAAATTCTGGCAAGATGGCCATGTTCATGTTTGTGTAGGAAAGATGGCCACAGTTGTGTGTCTGTCTCCCAATGCAGAACTTGAAGCAAAACAAAATTTTGCCAGACACTTCTGTTTGCAAATTTGCAAACAAAAGCATTCATGAACCAAGTTACCACTGTGTATATATATTCCATGCACTCATAAATTCTGAGGAATACAGATACATTGGATCAGAAAATGCTTGTAGGAATTTGGGGTTATGTCCGCAAGTAGAGCAAGCATAGTGAAAGGTAAAAGAGATACTAATAATATAGTACGTGTAGCTTGCCTGCTTGAGGATTTGTAAGGATTATTGAGGGGCTAGGGATTTAGCTCATTGATAGAAAGCTTGCATAGAAAGCTAGAAGCCTAGTTTGGTCCGTGGCACCAACAACAAAAAACAAACCTCACCTAAAGAACAATTTAGCAACAACAAATACATATAATTGGAATTGGAATATTTTTCTTCTCTGGACTTTTGTCAGCCCTGACATCCTTCTTTTTGAGTCTTAAAAAATTGGACTGATATGGGGCCCGGGAGATGACTCAGTAGAATAAGCGCTTGCCTGGCAAGCTCAAGGGCCTGAGTTCAATCCCTGGTTCCACCAAAAAAAAAAAAAAAAAAATTGGACTGATAAAGAAGTCTTCAAACTAATAATCACTAGTTACAATGTGTCGCCCACATTGGTGATTCTTGCAGCACTGTGTTTCTGACATAGTTTCTGACGCTGTCTTGGCGAGAATGTAATCCTCCACATGCACTTCCTAAGCTATTGTGAGTTACCCTAAGCAAGTAAAAATCTCATACAGTGAGAGCTGTATTCTCATACTCTGCAAACGTCCATGTAATTCTACACTTCACCGTGACATCTAACCACATAATTTGACTTACCATTTTCACAACCAAAAAAATTATTTATTGATGAGTATTTTAATAAAAATAAGTACTTAATCTGTATTGGGTGAAATTTATTTCATTGTAGGGTTTTGTTTTGTTTTTCCTTATGTGTAGGAGGGATTATGGGATCTGCTTTTCTATACTCAGTATCTTTCTGGTCAAGATAGTGTTATTGTTCTATAATTATAATGAAATGTAGACATCACTGCCAACAAGAGTTTCTTTCTGACTGGAGAATGCATCTTTTGCGATTCAGAACCCTCGTCCTCAGGAAAGCCGGACAGTATTCAGCGGCTCCGTCAGCATCCCATCCATCACCAAGTCCCGCCCAGAGCCAGGCCGCTCCATGAGTGCCAGCAGCGGCCTGTCAGCAAGTAAGTGCCCAGGCTGGTGCGCTGGCACCTCCTGCTCTGCGAGCCCAAGTCACTCACACGTCCTCAGTACTCAGTACTTTCCTACTTAGCATTCATGGCAGTAGTTACCCTCAGCCGTGTCTCAGCCCTTGCTGAGGAACAGTGCACTTGTTAAGAAAACAGCTCAAGAGCCCTTCATCGGGGGCCCAGCCCTAGCTCAGTTCTTTAAGTGGCTGCTTCCACAATGCTGGCAGCCTCAGTTTGCTGTAGTTCGATCCCCACAACACTCCAGCCATGCCAAAGTGCCCTGAAGGAATTCAAGGAGCAAAAAAAAGAAAAAAAAAAAGAGCCCTTCATCTAGTGTGCAGGCCGTCTGTGAGGCAGATACAGCTGCAGACAATGGCAGTGAGTGTGCTGATGGACTAAGCAGGGTAACAAGAAGCTTTCATGGATGAACTTGTACTTAGAATAACTAGGAAAAGTATGCCATTCGCTACAGGTGGCATCATGTTTGAGACATGTCAGTTAACTGAGAGAAGGCCATGTGGCTGCATGGTAGTGGTAAGAGAATGACAAAAGAATAAGAGAGGGAGAGGTGGCCAAATGCCATATTAACAGGTACTTGGAGACCAGGACAGGAATGTTTCATTTTAAACAAAATGCCCCAAGAATCCTTGAAAGAACTTAGTAGGAAAGAACCCTGTGGAGTTCCCACTTGTGGCCATGCCTCTGGTGGCTAAGCACAGAGTGGATTGAAGGCAGACGGGTGCATGACCTTATCCTGATAGCAGGCTCTGGGACTGGCCACGGGAAAGCCCAGCAGGCTGGGAATATAGCAGGGGAGGAGAAGAAAAGTGGAGAAAGAAGGCAATGGAGTTGCAATGTTTTCAAAGGTGGAAACAGACTTTCTGAATCAGCTGTGAGGAAGGGAGGCCATAGGTGATACCATTGGCTCCGTCAGCTGAGGGTGAAGCTGGGGCTGGGCAGGACATTCCAGGCACATGCAAAGGTCCCAGGGTAGGAAAAATCAGCACATCTGAGTAACAAAAAAGGACCTGGGACAGATAAAAATATACCCTGGTATCATGAAATCACGCTAACACCTCATCCAATAAATATCTGAGGCCTGTAAGACACCAGCTGCTCTGATACAGGGCCTAAAACTGCTTTCAAATGGCACAGACTTCACTTTTATCCTTTTTCCCCCTGTTTACCTTGAACTGTTGCGCCTCTCTCCTACGCCTTTGTGTGGAAGCCTGAGCTAAGGGACATTATAAAGATAAAAACATGCTTCCAGGAGTGCTTGTGTTTGGCTGTGGTGAGGAGCAACTTTGTTGTTGGGCAGGAAGCTGTCTGCCTAGAAAAGATGCCGTCTACTGAGTCAGCCCAGAGTTCCAACAGCTGCCTTTCCGGGGTGAGGAAGGCACACATCTCGAGTTCACTGCCATCTTTTGTCATCCCTGGGTGCCAGCAGTGAAAGTGTGGCTTCTGAAATAATCCTGTCGTTTCTGCCTGGGGGAAGACTGTCCTAGCCAAAGGTCTCTTTCCTGCAACTTTCGTGGGTGTGTGCTTCCCCAACAGCATGGCATTGCGGGGGCACAAGTGCCATCCGCGTGTGTGTCCAGTGTAACCTCAGGGAAACCTTTCTGTGCTCAGGAAAAATTGATCTTTGAGAAAAACTATACTATACTATGCCAAATTTATGTACTGCCCTCTGTTTTTGAAGGATCTGTGGAACAGGCAGGAGTATTACAGCCTAGTCTCAGGGCTGATAGTGTCACTAATGACAGGAGCACATTCCAAGAAACACGATTTGAGATGAGTTCCTGGCCAGGCAGGCATCACAGCAAGTACTTTCACAAAGATGGTGTGAGAGCACCATTGTTTATGGGGTTGGTCCCTCATTGACTGAAATGCCATGTTGTGACACGGTTGTGCTGTTTCTTTGAGGGAGGGAACTTCCTCAGTGTGTGACTAACGGGTTTTGAAGGGGTCTTCAGCTGACAGACAGAATTTCAAGTGCCTGAGATGTAACATTCTCCCCAAGTGGTCCGGAGCCCCTGTGTGTACTGTCTGCTTCATTGAAAAATAGAGTTGGAAACACCACCACCTTGTGGCTGCACATTTGCGGTGCATTTCAGCAGTGACTGGACTTGAGGCGCGCTGACCTGAGGGTGCTCCACAGTGGAGCCAGGCGCTCCTCTCCCCCTCCCCAGAATTCAGGTTTCTTCTTTCATATATTTTAGAAAGGACCATGCCATGTGTTATGTTATATTCGTAGGAAAATGTGGGCTTGTATGACAAGCACATTAATACTTAATAGAGCAAAAATACTGACAATCCACAGGATAAGTAGGTAATACACTCTTTATAAATAGAGCCTATACTTACCCTCCAGCCAGTTCAGATGAGGTTGTGTTATCACATGGGTTGGGATAAAATGAAAACCACCTGATCTCAGGGTGTTGGCATCTGTGGAACTGCAGATAGACATAAGACCTTGTAACAGAGCCCTCCTTAGAGGGGCTGAACGAGGATCGCCACAGCTGCTGATGTGGAAACCACGCTAAGTGCGAGGCTCTCGTGCCATCAGGGCCCTTCATGTAGCAGGCCTTGTCCCAAGCCATTCATAGAGAAGCCTCTGAGGAGCTCTCGCAGGCTTCTGCTCCTAGAGCGGCTCCTGCTGGCTTCAGGAGGAGCCCAGCTCTTGCATAGTGTTACCAAGACGGCCAGCCCAGAGAGGGGCAGGAAGCAGAAGGGGGGGAATTTGGCTGTCAGCCTCCTCAGAGAGCTGAAGCAGGAGGATCACCAGGAACTTGGGGCCAGCCTGGGCTCCACAGTGAGTTCAAGGACAGTCTGACCTACACAGAAAGTAGTTCAAAAAACAATAATGATGGAAAAACTAAGTTGGGTTGCCATGACAGCTGGTCTCCGAGGTGTGACCAGATTGCAGAGGCTGGGCTGAGTGTGGCCGGCAGCTGCACCTGCACGCTCTGTACTGCCCCCCAGCCCTTTGTTGTCATGGCAACCCAACTTAGTTTTTCCATCATTATTGTTTTTTGGTTTTTTGAACTACTTTCTGTGTAGGTCAGACTGTCCTTGAACTCACTGTGCAGCCCAGGCTTGCCCCAAGTTCCTGGGGATCCTCCTGCTTCAGCCTCTTGAGTGCTGAGGGTACAGCTGTTGTGCCATAATGCCCAGCTATTATTTTTATTTTCTTTTTTTTAAGATTTAAGTGTAACTTCTCTTTGAAAACAAAGAATCCAAAATTTTTAGGTTTGGGGGTGTTTTTTTTTTGTTTTGTTTTTTTTTTTTGGGGGGGGTTTTTTAGCACTAGGATATGACCCAGTTCTCTTTCTTACAGATAATTACTAGGAAGGAGGTGGCAAGTACACTCTTGTGTAAAACCAGCCCCATACCCTCCTGGCCTGCATTTATTCTGCATCGACTAAATGTTCTGTTGTTTGAACAAAAGTCCTATGAGAGAGAATTTGTTTTATCTATAGGTCAGAGAATTTATTCAGAAGGGTAAAGAAACTTGCCTGAGGTAACCCAGTGGATAAGGAGAGTCTGACAGCTTGTATTTTCAATTCAGGACAAAATGTAAAAGTAACTTCTACAACTTTTCTAAAAAACTGAACACTGATGCTTGCTTTGGCAGCACATATACTAAAATTGGAACGATACAGAGAAGATTAGCATGGCCCCTGCGCAAGGATGACACGCAAATTCGTGAAGCGTTCCATATTTTTCCTAAGATGTTTGATATGCAGACAGATAGTAAGGTTAAGCTTAACAGCCTAAGTTGTATGGTAATAACTATAAGCTTGTCTT